CCGACAATGATCCCGGATGCACTAATGTCAGTTGGAGAATTTCGTACCTTGATTATCCTCCCAAGCCGCCACCAGCGAGCGACCAGCAGTACACGCATCTCCCGATTGCTTTTCAGAGCATGCAAAGTCTGGGTCGAGCAGCCTCCTGAACGAAATCATCGCTCAGACAGTTTAAGCCTGGTCGGCTTCTAGGAGTAACCAACCTATCAACCTCTGTAATTTTCCAGCCTTATAATTTAGTAAAACCGATCGGCTATGCACTGTGTAAGTTGCGAGCCACAGCCGATCATCATGTTGGCGACTCATGTTATCTCTCGATCAAATTCCTAGCGATCACTGGTCCTTAGAACGAGTGAATGCTTCTGTTTTTCCATCTCCGGATCAGCAGTAATCACCCGAGCAACACCGAGCGCGATTTTATCTCCTAGCGGGCGTTCCCAGTCATCCGATCACCCCGAGCTCCAGCTGGGCAACCGATCTCCACGACGACCGGTTTCTTAGCCTTTTCCGAATTGAGGACCTTCAACATTTTTTATTGCGCCACTTTTGGCCGTTTTGGCGGCCGAGCGTTAGCAAGCAGGTGATCCAAGCATGTTACCCGAGCATCGCAAGTCTTAACGAGCACTGGTTTCTGATTGTTCGCAGTTCCCTTGATTATCTACCGACTTCGCCGATCGATGCCAGTAGTTCTATTGTTCCTACTTTCCCGATCGTTGCAGAAGTTGAGCCTTCTTGTTTAATGATCACCTTCATGATCAGTTTCCCGATCATCCCGAGGGCACCCAAAGGCTTTCCCGACCGAGCAGAACTCTACAACTTGGCTGTTGTATCATCACCCACATCGTCGACGATCCGATCGCCATTCGAGCGTCATGATTTCTCCCGACCACCTTGTCTATCGCCGAGCGACCCCGGAGCAGGTCGACATCCGAGCGTCACGATCTTTCCCGGCCCCGTTCGCGTCTATCGCCGAGTGAATAGGCCCCGTTCAACGCATGGGAAACTGTCGAAGTAATATTCCAAGCTTATAAATTATTCATGTAATTTCAAATTATAGAAATTGTATATGCTATATTACAATTCGTAGAAGTTATAGCCTATACTTAGAAAACTGTATTAGATTATGATTTGTATAGGTTGTAATTTGTATTTAGGAAAATTGTAATAGTTAGAATTAAATTGTAATAGGCCCGGTCAGGTTGGTATTCCACCACCGGCACCTCAAGTCCGGTCGGGTCGGCCACGCCACCACCGGCATAGTAAAGCACGGGAAATTGTCCCGGCCCCAAGTCCTACTAAGTAGGCAATTCTGGTCTCCCGACCCACAAGGACAAGATCGACCGCAAAGTCGCTTAAACTTGTACCGACCGCAAAGTCGCTTAAACTTGTACCGACCGCAAAGTCGCTTAAACTTGTAACGACCACAATGTCGCTTAAACTTCCGGCCTTTGTTGCCCAAACAACCACAATGTCGCTTAAACTTCCGGCCTTTGTTGCCCAAACGACCACAATGTCGCTTAAACTTCCGACCTTTGTTGCCCAAACGACCACAATGTCGCTTAAACTTCCGGCCTTTGTTGCCCAAACGACCACAATGTCGCTTAAACTTTCGGCATTTGTTGCCCAAATGACCACAATGTCGCTTAAACTTACGGCCTTGCTGCCCGAACGACCACGATGTCGTCTTCTCCTTGTAGTCCGACCGGCAATTGACCGACCGTCAAAGCCGCTCGGACTCGGGGGGCTATACACGCGTCTTTTCGCGTTTTCCCTTGGTAGGGAATATCCCGACCGACGTAGCTTCACCACGACCGAGAAGCCTTTGTCTTTTTCTCTTTGTCTTTGCAGGTAACAGGTCGGGCTCCTTGAGAAGAACCCGGTCGGGGCCGACCGGGAGTTGCCCGAGCAACGGTGTCGACCGCCGAGCGGTAGCCCTTTGGCGAGAGAGCTGACGAAAAACACGTGGCGATTCTCTACGACGACAGACAGGGCACCCGGGAGGACGACACGTGGTGGCTACGTGGAGGACATGCCGAACGGCCGGAATCCTGTCCCCGGTATAGCGGCTATAAATACCCACAGTAGCTACAGTGTAGGGGACTTTTGGACGATCGATAGGTTGTTGTTAGAGAATCCCGACCGCAGTCAGTCGGTACTCAAAGCAACCAAGTAGATTGTACTTAGGGCCTTTACCGTGATCAATAAAGACATTTACTTGCTTTAATTGGTCTCGAGTTACTTCTTATTGCTTACGTATAATTAGCAGTATCACCCCTCTTCTTCTTGTAGTCCGACCGGCAATTGACCGACCGTCATATCCGCTCGGACTCGGGGGGCTATACACGCGTCTTTTCGCGTTCCCCTCTTCTTCTTGTAGTCCGACCGGCAATTGACCGAGCGTCATAGCCGCTCGGACTCGGGGGGCTATACACGTGTCTTTTCGTGTTTCCCTCTTCTTCTTGTAGTCCGACCGGCAATTGACCGACCGTCATAGCCACTCGGACTCGGGGGGTTATACACGCGTCTTTTCGCGTTCCCCTCTTCTTCTTGTAGTCCGACCGGCAATTGACCGACCGTCATAGCCGCTCGGACTCGGGGGGCTATACGCGCGTCTTTTCCCGTTCCCCTCTTTTTCTTGTAGTCCGACCGGCAATTGACCGACCGTCATAGCCGCTCGGACTCGGGGGGCTATATGCGTGTTTCTTTCGCGTTTCTTTCCACTAAGTCCGACCGGCAATTGACCGACCGTCATAGCCGCTTGGACTCGGGGGGCTATACGCGCGTTTCTTTCGTGTCTCCTTCCACTAAGTCTGACCGGCAATTGACCGACCGTCATAGCCGCTTGGACTCGGGGGGCTATACGCGCGTTTCTTTCGCGTCTCCTTCCTTTCAGTCCAACCGGCAATTGACCGACCGTCATAGCCGCTCGGACTCAGGGGGCTAGACATAGCCACCACCGGCGCTCTACGCCCGGTCGGCATCATTGCCACCGTCGGCGCTCTACGCCCGTTTAGGTCGGCATAGCCGTCACCGGCGCTTTAAGTCCGGTCTGGTCGGCATCATAGCCACCACCGGCGCTCTACGCCCGGTCGGCATCATTGCCACCGCCGGCGCTCTACGCCCGGTTAGGTTGGCATAGCCACCACCGGTGCTCCACGGCCGGTTAGGTTGGCATAGCCACCACCGGCGGCGCTCTACGCTCGGTCGGCATCATTGCCACCGCCGGCGCTCTACGCCTGGTTAGGTTGGCATAGCCACCACCGGTGCTCCACGCCCGGTTAGGTTGGCATAGCCACCACCGGCGGCGCTCTACGCCCGGTCGGCATCATTGCCACCGTCGGCGCTCTACGCCCGGTTAGGTTGGCATAGCCACCACTGGCGCTTTAAGTCCGGTCCGGTAGGCATCATTGCCACCGCCGGCGCTCTACGCCCAGTTAGGTTGGCATAGCTACCACCGGTGCTCCACGCCCGGTTAGGTTGGCATAGCCACCACCGGCGCTCTACGCCCGGTTGGCATCATTGCCACCGCCGGCGCTCTACGCCCGGTTAGGTCAGCATGGCCGCCACCGGCGCTTCAAGTCCGGTTCGGTCGGCACCATAGCCACCACCGGCGCTCTACGCCCGGTTGGCATCATTGCCACCGCCGGCGCTCTACGCCCAGTCGGCAGAAGTATAGTTTGATGCATCAGCATCGTGAGTTCAGTCGATTCATTTACAGATCGCGATTAAAGTTGCAAGGCAAACTCGGAAAGCTATCATATCTACTATCTTATGTTGACGATTCTCACAACTGAGGGAGTGAAGGGTTACATCGGTAGTAGCTCGTTGCGCTCCCGCGTAGGTCGACCTTCCCGGTCTCCTGGTGTTAAGTCATAGAAAGTTTGATCCCCAAATCGTAAATAAATCCGACCTCCCGGTCGTACCTAGAAACCCGGTCGGCAGACCGGTAAAGTAGACATCTAGATCGCAGCTAACGCGATCTCCAGATCTTAGCTAGCTTCCCGGTCGTTCGTCCCGTAAAGGTTCGACCTCTCGAATCATGTTGCAAAACCGACCCCTAGGTCGGGCAACTTCCTTTTTTAGTCCACCAGACTGCGTTTAGCGTTGTGCTCTTTTTTCCTTAGCTAAAGTTTTTTCCATTGGGTTTTTTATTAGCTTGAGGTTTTTAACGAGGCAACCGGCGCAAGTCACGGACCATGTGATCAGTTTTCCAGCCCAAATCCTTCCTCGCTAACTCATCGTCAGGGCACGGACTGGGGGGGCTTCATGATGGGGAATATACTCCGGGTTCAGGCTCCCCGTACGCTCCGTGCTCCTATTTGGGTCGGGTCAAACGGTTCGGGTCGAGGTCAAACCCGACTTGGGTTGACCTATATAAGGGCTTCTAACCCTTCATTTTTAGTGGGCCTCCTCCTCTTGAACTCTACTCTCTCTCTAGCTAAATGCTCCCCCTTCTCTCTACAAATACATCAATTATAATAAAAGAGATTCATTTGAGCTACTTCTTGTCTACCCTCTACATTGTTCATACACTTATTACATGCATACATGCAACCTACGTACACGGGCATTAACCGTATCAACCAGAGAAGACAACCGACGTTGTCTTATCCGGTGGAGAAGGCGACATGATCAGATCGCCTTCTCCATTGGAGAGGACGACCAGTCCGATCGTCCTCTCTAGTGGAGAAGGCGGCCAGTCCGGTTGCCTTCTCCACTAGAGAGGGCGGCCAGATCTGGTCGCGTTCTCCAGTGGAGAGGGCGGCCAGATCTGGTCGCCTTCTCCGGTATTTATTTTTTATCGCCGAAAATGTCGTCGGAGTTTTTGACCGATTATTTCAGGTTAAAAATGTATTATTAAATTTATTTGACTTAAAATAATAAATTAAATGGCTTAATTGTCTATTTTTTAAGTTGAAAGGCCTAATTACTCTTTTGCCTATAGTTTAAGGGTACGATCCTTTTCCCTTACTTATTAAAATAGAAGATGATAATTTTTATGTAAGCGGTTGTGACTCATTTACTCCAATGCAGAGATGAGATGAATAGGAATTGCTTAGGACGGAGTATTTATTATGGTGCATAAAATAGGTTACTTTTGTTAGTGTGGACAAACCCCGCGAACCAAAGTGCAGTAGAAAACAATCATAGTTTGAGTCGATGATTTTGATCCGCTGAAGAGGGAGAGGAAGAGGAGGAGACAGAAGAGAAAGAGAGAATCTAAGGATGTTTTTCCACATAGTGTTGGAACGGAAAATGCAACTCCACCCTCGCCACTTTGGCCGTGACCTCCGCGACAAACTCGTATCCAAGCTCATGAAAGATGTCGAGGGAACTTGCAGGTTCTTTTCTTTCCTTATTATAAACCCTAATTCCGCAATTCCCAATTCGAAGATTCAAATTATCTGTTGTATTTAGTCAAAATTTAAGAACGGTGCCCTAAAGTTTTGATCTTTTACAGTGGACGACACGGTTTCATAGTAGCAATCACTGGCATTGAGAATGTCGGAAAAGGTCTCATTCGCGACGGTACAGGGTTCGTCACTTTCCCAGTGAAGTATCAGTGTGTTGTGTTTCGGCCTTTCAAAGGGGAGATTCTAGAAGCTGTTGTTACTATGGTGAACAAGGTCCTTTTTTTTTTTTTTTTTTTTTTTTTTTGGAATTAACAGCGAAAATACATAATTTATGGGTTGTTTATGGAATGTTTGATGTATATGGGATTGCTGCAGATGGGTTTCTTTGCCGAAGCAGGGCCTGTACAAATTTTTGTCTCTAATCATGTGAGTTCCCTTATCTTCGCAATTTTTGAATCATAATGAGCACTTTATAGACGCTTGCAAGGTATTACTCACTGGATGTATTCAATTGGTTAAAGATTATTCGTTTTTATACAACTAAAATGAACTAAATTTTGAGCATAGTCAAGACAACTAACTTTACGAATTTGTTCCATTAGATTTAGGAGGATTACGTTGCTATTAAAGGTGAATTTCTTAGACATGTAATTTGCTTAAGGAAATATAGGATGTCATTAATGGCTCAATTGGCCAAGGGGTGGCTTCCTGCCTCAAAATTAGGAGTTTAATCCCCTCCCCATTAAATGTACTTAAAAAGAATTGATCAATGGATATTACTGATTTTTTTGAAGGAACTCAATGGAATTATTTATTTTATTTTATTGCCTCCTTTAACATTTCAAGCCTTAGAATCCTCTTTTATTCGTATTCTTGCTTATGTATGTGAAATATACCATTGCGTTTAGTGAATCTTGTAGCTAGGCATCTGCTTAACATTCACAGTATTGTAACAATCTTAATGGAGTTGATCTTCTCCACTATAGTTTCTGTGCTTTATATGGGGAGAGGTTTAGATATGTGAAAAGTCCGAGCATAATTGCATCTTTTCTTGGCTCATAAACGGCGCTTAGTTATTGGCTTTGTTGTGCAGTTAATACCAGATGACATGGAGTTTCAGTCTGGAGATGCACCAAACTACACAACATCTGATGGATCGGTATGTTTCATGGGCCTTTTCTTGACAATAATCTTTGTGTATCTCTCGTGACTTTGGTTGTGTTTTATGTATTTAATCTGTCCCTCGTTTTTCAGGTTAAAATTCAGAAGGATAGTGAAGTACGACTAAAGATCATTGGAACTCGTGTTGATGCTACAGAAATTGTATGTGCTCAAGCCCACTCACGATTTTAACATAATACAACTCACTAGCTAAAATCTTCCCCCGTGGCAAATGAGCTCTCTTTGTGGGGGAGTATTCCGGGATAACCCGGGTTCGATTCCCACAAGTAACGATTCCCTTTGGGCCAGCTTCTGTGCCTCTCGGAGCGAACCGGGTGGACTTGGACCGTTAAACGGACAGAGAAGACCCGGACCACATTGTGGTTTACATTAAAAAAAAAAAATCTTCCCCCATTATTCCTTCATTATTGTTATCAAAGTCCAAATGTTTGTTCAATACTTTACTCCACACTCTCCGCAACTATCTGTCTTTGATATTGACTTGTACAATGGACATTTCGGTTTGCAGTTCTGCATTGGTACAATTAAGGATGATTTCTTGGGTGTTATCAATGATCCCGGAGCAGCTGTCTGATAAACACAATTTCAGATTCTTGTCCATAGTTGGTATGCGGTATTGATTTTCTTGTACCAGGATAAATGGACTGCTTATAAGAACCACCTGGAGCTCAAGCTGAAGCTTTTTTTTTTTGGTTTTGTTTTGTTGGTCTAGAAGTCTTGTGTGCTACTATGCAATTTGTAGTTATGTTGTTGTCTTAGAAGATTGATTTAATTCTAAAGATATTTTAATATAATTAATGATAACATATTTTTAAACTGCAGTTATTATGGTTTTGGAATTTAGATCTATGGTTGAAATTTGTGGTTTGTGATAATTCTAGACAAATCTTTAAATTCGCAACTTAAAAATAATTGGCAGTCACTTGAAAGTACGCACTAATTAATTTGTGTAATAGTATGATTATACAATTTTTTACATATTTTTTTTCTGATTTATAAATTCTACAAGAATAAAATTTACCTAATATGTACACACATAGTGGCAAAAGATTTTGTTGTCACCCAAAATACTGTACAATTTTAATTGAGCGAATACTAATTTTAGTCCTACAAGTATTAACAAAATGACAGTTTTGATTCAGATGTTTAATTCATACCAGTTTTCATCCACGAGGATCACGACTATTGTTTTAGTACCAATTTTCATTTACGACTATTATTTTAGTACCAAAATTTATCATGTCGGTCACCCCTACATTTAAGACATGCCGAAATCTAAAAATTTTAAGGGCATTTGCGCCATTTTTAACTTAAGGACTCCAATTTGAGCGTAAAAAAGAGGAATTAAGCCCTAAAATTGATTCCAATTCTCAGTTCTCCTCATTATCCTACCTTAATTTGAAGAGGAGAAGTACGAATTGAGATAAATCTTAGAACTTAATTTTTTATTTTTCATGCTCAAATTGGGAACTTAATTTGAAAATGACGAAAATATATTTAACAATTTCATATTTCGACATGTATTAAACGAATAGGTGACTGACGTGATGTGTTTTGGTACTAAAACAATAGTCGTTGATGAAAATTGACACTAAAATAATAGTCGTGGATAAAAATTGATAGAAATTAAATATGTAGATTAAAACTGTCGTTTTGCTAATACATGTGGGAGTAGAATTGGTATCTGCTCAATTTTAATTAATTTTGATTTTTGAATTATATTTGTCCGTAACTATTAAGAGTCTAACAAATTCAACAAAATATCGATTGGTTAAATATCTGGAAATTTGATATTTAGTCATCAAGTCGTTGTAGTATAGTGGTGAGTATTTCCGCCTGTCACCCGGGTTCGATCCCCGGCAACGGCGCTTTTTGAACACATCCCGTATCCAACCTGTTTGTATTTCGACCGTTAATCCTCTGCAACTGATTTCCATGGTAGCGCTGATCCTTGTTGCCTTTTTTATGTAAATGTGGACAGTTTACACACCCTCACTCACACCGTTGACGATGGTTTTGGCGACTAAACTCATAAATATGTATTAAGAATTGGACTGCATCAATGACGCACGCCAGGTGTTTGATAAAATTTGCAACAGAACAGAACAGAACGATATATGTTTGGTCTGGGGAATGCTCTCTTCCAGGAGTTATCTTTGGCTGGTCATGGCGATGAGGTCTTGGGCTTATATAGACGGATGATTGAGCAATGAGCAGCGAAAATACATAATTTATGGGTTGTTTATGGAATGTTTGATGTATATGGGGTTTTTGGCTGAAGCAGGGCCTGTACAGATTTTTGTCTCTAATCATGTGAGTTCTCTTCTCTTTGCAATTCTTGTATCATAATGAACACTTTATAGAAGCTTGCATTGTATTACTCACTGGATGTATTTAATTGGTAAAAAATTATCCCTTTTTGCATGTTTGATAATGAGCTGAAATTGGAATGACTTCTAATATCAATTATTGTTATATTATGTATTTTTTTTAACCTAAATGTGTAAAAGTAGTATATTTCAAATTATCTATGTCTTATTGACAAGAAATATGTATGTTCATAATTTACAATAAATTATTTAAAAAATCAATATTAGACGAAATAGTAATTTACAATCTATAATTTAAACAAAACTGAATATATTTAACCTAATATTCTAATGCATGATTGGCCTAACAATTTTAGCCTTTTAGGTAGAGTTTCACGATGTACAAAATTACTTCATGTTATATTGTATATATCCCAGTTAAAATATATATTACCACTAATTTAACATTTTTCATTATAAGGTTTTCAACGTGGAGCTTCACTTGAAGTTAAGAAGTTTTAAAATGTAGAAGAGAGTAATTTACTCGTCGCACAAGTAAGCAATCTCCAAAAATAGATACATAGCTACGAAACCATTTAAGTTTTCATTACACCTTGATCTGTCATTATCTGTTTTCTCTTGCATCCAATGCTTATTGAGCCTTTTAACTTCATGCTTGGTTGATGTGTTTTGTTATGAATTTTGAGATTCTGCTTGTAAATGAATTTGTTATATATGTTATTGCGTGGAAGCATTAGTATTTATCAACCTCTTTGGCAATTGAGTGTCTTTGACAATCATTACAGCATGTTAAATTATTTCTCTGTACTTTTTATCACAAAAGTAAATGTAAACACTAGTTATTTTGCACTGGAAATTGTATTTATGTGGAAATTATGAGTGTACACCAATATTTATTTTTTATATATATTTAAATCTATAATTAATTCAGTCTTATGCCTTTTTAAGAACAACTCTATAAATTCGGTTTCCTAGTCATTGTAGGGCTCTTTTATTACTCCGTATTTCATTTTAGGAAGTCATTTTACACAATTTTTAAAATGCATGATGCACAACTAAAAAGAACAAACACATTTTTCTCCCCCAAACTGTTCATATTTTGACTTTCAATTTACGCGCACTGTAACTTTGAAAAGCTAATTTAATTTCGAGTGAATTCCATTTTTGGTCCTACTATTATATGGGCTTTTTCAATTTTAGTCCACCATAATTATTTTTGCCACATTGCATCCACTATTATTAAAAATGTTTCAATTTTAGTTCATTTTTAGATTTTTCGTGGACTAAAATTGGAACATTTTTAATAATAGTGGACGCAATGTGACAACAATAATTATGGTAGACTAAAATTGGAATGACCCCAATAATAGTAGGACCAAAAATGGAATTCACTCTTTAATTTCCCTCTTTCATTCTCACTCATTTATATATAGTAGTTCGAGTTCGTCACCTATGATTTTTCATAGAATATATTACATTTAAAAGATAATGTGATAAAAACAATTTACCTGAAAATTATGATGTGACCTACATATAATCCAAGCACCATCCTTGCATCTATTCATGAAAGAGCCTCACTAAATACACAAAATTACTCCTCAACACCCCACTAATTGAACTTCTCATATTGACAACATAACTCCATTTATTTAAACCCTGCAACAATTCACCATAAATAATGTGTATTAGAAACCAACATCATATTTATTAGGAAAGTAAATGTTTAAACTATCATGGTTCCACCAATTACCATATAATATAGTATGATGGCATCTTGGTTACCATTTCAAATGGATGGTTATAAGTTTGAATTCCGGTGGTTGGGGCTTAGATACTACCTTGTAAAGAATCATGAAATTTAGACAGCAGCATTCCATGCTTTTGAGACCCGAATCAAAATTCAATTACATATACTACCTTGTAAAGAAAATCATGATTTCATCATAAAATAAACATTCCATGCTTTTGATTGTTTTTTGTTCATGATTCAGACAACTCATATATGTGCAGTAAAAGAACCCTCATGGCTTTTTGGGTGTGATAGGGATGGATTTGAGACCCAAGAACAAAGTGGCTAGACATCAAACTTCAATTGTTGTGCTTTCCAGTTGAACAACCTAATGCAGTAAAAAAAATATAGCAATACAAATTATTATTTAATTATGAGTGAATTTCATTTTTGGTCCTATTGTTATTGGGGTTTTTCCAATTTTATTCCACCATAATTTTTTTTGCCACATTGCACTCACTGTTAATGAAATCGTTCCAATTTTAGTCCTCCTTTAATTTTTTCGTGTGTTGGCCATTTAATTCAGGGGCATTTGTGTCTTTCCATGTTATATCCAACATTTTATGCTTTTCCAACGCAAACCACCAAAAATTAATTCGATGCGGACAAAGCTTAGCGCAGAATATCGTGAAGCAAAACTCCGCAAAGCTTAGCGCCGCAGATCGTGAAGCAAAAATAATTTGAGACTAGAACTAATTTGACAAATGGAATTGTTGATTCTGGAAGCAAAAGAGGACTTGTGACCCAAAAATGATTTTCAATTTTCAAAGGATCCCTCTTCCACCAAAAAAAAGAGTTTCAATTTCCAAAGCTTCTTCCTCCCGCAACCTCTACTTCGTCCGCAGGAGACGACGATTCCTTTCTCGATTCTGCTTCGAGGAGGCTGAGAAGCTTATCCTTGACGGCAATAGCGACGATGAAGCAATTGGTGGGCACCGGCGCCGTCCATCTTCGTGAACTATCCCGCCGTAGCCACATGTTCCCGTACACAAAAGGGGCAGTGAAGATGATGATGATTATGCAATTCTCTAGGCTTAATTTAATTTGATTTGGGCATCTTCTTGCAAATCTATCAAGACAGCAGCTAATGCCTACCTTCTCACCGAACTCCCATGGGCTATCGAAGCAGGCAGCTACAAAGACCCAAAAGTAAGCGTCGAATGCACTTTGATCTATCCCCGTCTTCTTCTTGCTCTCCTGTGATTCTCACTCAAGATGAGCTAAAAAAACTTGCCGCTTACAAGGTCATGAGTATGTGAAGTCTGGCATACATTTGGAGTGTTCAGTGACCTAATTGCATTTTTTTTTTTTTTAGTTTAGTGGCCTAATTGCATTTTCAGGTTACGTTCAGTGGCCAATTTGAACCTTATTCCTTAATATAAATACAGATAAAAACTAATACACCAATAGGATTAGACTCCTAATTAATGTGAATGATTACCATCTCTATCATAACTAAATTGGGTTAATTGCATTTTTTTGTCCTAGATTTATAGGTGACAATCCAGTTTTAGTCATTTTTATCAGAACATCCACATTTGGTCACAATCTTATAGTGACATGGTCATTTTTAGTCTTCCGTCAACAAAATCGTCGAAATATTATTAAATTCAAAGGCATTTCGATCATTTGTATACAAAGTGAGTTGATCCTGCTATACTTTTATGTTTATTTTTTTGAAAAAAAAAATTGTAATTGAAGG